AGTTATAAGCGATTTTAGTTTTCTTAATTTTTTGACCACAAAATCGTTTTTTGAAAGAAAATATGAGTGATCACAAAATAAGCTTATTTTTCCATTTAAACGTGTTTTAACGAAGTTATAAGCGATTTTAGTTTTCTAAAGTTTTTTCACCAAAAAATCGATTTTTGAAGGAAAATATGAGTGATCACAAAATAAACGTGTTTTAACGAAGTTATAAGCGATTTTAGTTTTCTAAAGTTTTTTGACAAAAAAAAAACAAAAATCGATTTTTGAATGAAAATATGAGTGATCACAAAATAAGCTTATTTTTCCATTTAAACGTGTTTTTACGAAGTTATAAGCGATTTTAGTTTTTTTAATTTTTTTGACCAAATAATCGATTTTTGAAGGAAAATATGAGTGATCACAAAATAAGCATATTTTTCCATTTAAACGTGTTTTAACGAAGTTATAAGCGTTTTTAGTTTTCTTAAGTTTTTTGACCAAAAAATCGATTTTTGAAGGAAAATATGAGTGATCACAAAATAAACTTATTTTTCCATTTAAACGTGTTTTAACGAAGTTATAAGCGTTTTTAGTTTTCTTAAGTTTTTCGACCAAAAAATGGATTTTGAAGAAAAATGCGGGTGATCACAAAATAAGCTTATTTTTCCATTTAAACGTGTTTTAACGAAGTTATAAGCGATTTTAGTTTTCTAAAGTTTTTTGACAAAAAAAAAACAAAAATCGATTTTTGAATGAAAATATGAGTGATCACAAAATAAGCTTATTTTTCCATTTAAACGTGTTTTTACGAAGTTATAAGCGATTTTAGTTTTCTTAATTTTTTTGACCAAATAATCGATTTTTGAAGGAAAATATGAGTGATCACAAAATAAACTTATTTTTCAATTTAAACGTGTTTTAACGAAGTTATAAGCGTTTTTAGTTTTCTTAAGTTTTTTGACCAAAAAATCGATTTTTGAAGGAAAATATGAGTGATCACAAAATAAACTTATTTTTCCATTTAAACGTGTTTTAACGAAGTTATAAGCGTTTTTAGTGTTCTTAAGTTTTTCGACCAAAAAATGGATTTTGAAGGAAAATATGAGTGATCACAAAATAAGCTTATTTTTCCATTTAAACGTGTTTTAACGAAGTTATAAGCGATTTTAGTTTTCTAAAGTTTTTTGACAAAAAAAAACAAAAATCGATTTTTGAATGAAAATATGAGTGATCACAAAATAAGCTTATTTTTCCATTTAAACGTGTTTTTACGAAGTTATAAGCGATTTTAGTTTTCTTAATTTTTTTGACCAAATAATCGATTTTTGAAGGAAAATATGAGTGATCACAAAATAAACTTATTTTTCAATTTAAACGTGTTTTAACGAAGTTATAAGCGATTTTAGTTTTCTAAAGTTTTTTCACCAAAAAATCGATTTTTGAAGGAAAATACGAGTGATCACAAAATAAGCTTATTTTTCCATTTAAACGTGTTTTAACGAAGTTGTAAGCGATTTTAGTTTTCTTAAGTTTTTTGATTAAAAAAATCGATTTTTGAAGGAAAATATGAGTGATCACAAAATAAGCTTATTTTTCCATTTAAACGCGTTTCAACGAAGTTATAAGCGATTTTAGTTTTCTGAAGTTTTTTGACCAAAAAACCGATTTTTGAAGGAAAATATGAGTGATCACAAAATAAGCTTATTTTTCCATTTAAACGCGTTTCAACGAAGTTATGAGCGATTTTAGTTTTCTGAAGTTTTTTGACCAAAAAACCGATTTTTGAAGGAAAATATGAGTGATCACAAAATGAGCTTATTTTTCCATTTAAACGTGTTTTAACGAAGTTATAAGCGATTTTAGTTTTCTTAAGTTTTTTGACAAAAAAATCGATTTTTGAAGGAAAATATAAGTGATCACAAAATAAGCTTATTTTTCCATTTAAACGTGTTTTAACGAAGTTATAAGCGATTTTAGTTTTCTTAACATTTTTGCTAAAAAAATCGATTTTTGAAGGAAAATATAAGTGATCACAAAATAAGCTTATTTTTCCATTTAAACGTGTTTTAACGAAGTTATAAGCGATTTTAGTTTTCTTAACATTTTTGCTAAAAAAATCGATTTTTGAAGGAAAATATGAGTGATCACAAAATAAGCTTATTTTTCCATTTAAACGTGTTTTAACGAAGTTATAAGCGATTTTAGTTTTCTTAAGTTTTTTGACCAAAAAATTGAATTTTGAAGGAAAGTATGAGTGATCACAAAATAAGCTTATTTTTCCATTTAAACGTGTTTTAACGAAGTTATAAGCGATTTTAGTTTTCTTAACATTTTTGCTAAAAAAATCGATTTTTGAAGGAAAATATGAGTGATCACAAAATAAGCTTATTTTTCCATTTAAACGTGTTTTAACGAAGTTATAAGCGATTTTAGTTTTCTTAAGTTTTTTGACAAAAAAATCGATTTTTGAAGGAAAATATAAGTGATCACAAAATAAGCTTATTTTTCCATTTAAACGTGTTTTAACAAAGTTATGAGCGATTTTAGTTTTCTTAACATTTTTGTTAAAAAAAAATCGATTTTTGAAGGAAAATATAAGTGATCACAAAATAAGCTTATTATTCCATTTAAACGTGTTTTAACGAAGTTATAAGCGATTTTAGTTTTCTTAACATTTTTGCTAAAAAAATCGATTTTTGAAGGAAAATATGAGTGATCACAAAATAAGCTTATTTTTCCATTTAAACGTGTTTTAACGAAGTTATAAACGGTTTTAGTTTTCTTAAGTTTTTTGACCAAAAAATCGACTTTTAAAGAAAAACATGAGTGATCACAAAATGAGCTTATTTTTCCATTTAAACGTGTTTTAACGAAGTTATAAACGATTTTAGTTTTCTTAAGTTTTTTGACCAAAATATCGATTTTTGAAGGAAAATATGAGTGATCACAAAATAAGCTTATTTTTCCATTTAAACGTGTTTTAACGAAGTTATAAGCGAATTTAGTTTTCTTAAGTTTTTTGACCAAAATATCGATTTTTGAAGGAAAATATGAGTGATCACAAAATAAGCTTATTTTTCCATTTAAACGTGTTTTAACGAAGTTATAAGCGATTTTAGTTTTCTCATGTTTTTTGACCAAAAAATCGATTTTTGAAGGAAAATACGGGTGATCACAAAATAAGCTTATTTTTCCATTTAAACGTGTTTTAACGAAGTTAAAAGCGATTTTAATTTTCTTAAGTTTTTTGACCATTTAAACGTGTTTTAACAAAGTTATAAGCGATTTTAGTTTTGTTAATTTCTTTGACCAAAAAATCTATTCTTGAAGGAAAATATGAGTGATCACAAAATAAGCTTATTTTTCCATTTAAACGTGTTTTAACGAAGTTATAAGCGATTTTAGTTTTCTTAAGTTTTTTGACCAAAAGATAGATTTTTGAAGGAAAATATGAGTGATCACAAAATAAGCTAATTTTTCCATTTAAACGTGTTTCAACGAAGTTATAAGCGATTTTAGTTTTCTTAAGTTTTTTGACAAAAAAATCGATTTTGAAGGAAAATACGAGTGATCACAAAATAAGGTTATTTTTCCACTTAAACGTTGAGTAATCACAAAATAAGATTATATTTTCATTTAACCGTGTTTTAGCGAAGCTATAACCGATTTTAGTTTTCTCATGTTGTTTAACCAAAAAATCGACTTTTAAAGGAAAATATGAGTGATCACAAAATAAGGTTATTTTTATAACCACCATCAAAAAAGATCGGGGGTATATTGTTTTTGTCATTCCGTTTGTAACACATCGAAATATTGGTCACAGACCCACAAAAGTGTATATATACTGGGTCCTTATTAAATTCTAAGACGCCATGTCCGTCCGTCTGTGTGTTGAAAGCACAATAGAGTCGGAACGAAAAGAGGAAATGAGCTGAAATTTTGCATAATAAAGTTTTATATGAGCCAAAATCTTCTTACGAGAATCGGCCCACGACTATAACGGTCATAACTTGCTTAAAAATGATAGTAATGTAACGAAATTCGACATATACAAGTTTTAGGGGAACAGAAATATCTTTGCTAATTTTTTTCGAAATCGGCCCATAATTGACCCTACCCACCATACAAGCTCCCCTTCAGTAAATGATTTTAACTCTTATAACTTGCTTCAAAATGATAGTTAAGCAACGAAATTCAAGGTAAACAAGTTTTTGGGGAACTTGGTCTTTTTTTGTTATTGTGACACATATTTCCAAAAATAAAAGTTTCTAAACCACTGTGTGGCGTAAGTATGTTTTCTTCTGATTTTTTATTTATAATAATTTAACAATAAATTACTTAAATGAAAAGTTTTGATGCTTAGATAGTAAACAAAATGTTTTACATTAGTAAGAATATTAAATTATTAATCAATGATTATTGATTTGTTAAACAAACAATAGTCATTATTGTCATTTATCTATTTTATAAGGGATTAATGTTTTCAATTTGAATTAAAGAAAAATTAAAAAAAAAAACTAAGTTTCTAAGTAAAACTTTATGGTAGAGAAACCTTTCTAAACAAAACTCCCTTTAGGGAAACTTTTCCAAAGAAAACCCACTCCAGAAAATCGTTTTTAAAGGGGACTTTCTTCAGAAAAACTTTTCTAAAGAAAACTCTCTCTCTCTCTTGAGAAACTTATAGCAACAAAACTCTCTCTAAAGGAACTTTTCGTATGAGAACTTTTTCTCTTTAGAAACTTTTCTAACGAAAACTCTCTTTTGTGAAACTTTTTTAAATTAAACTCTAATTAGAGAAACTTTTCTAAACTAAACTCTCTCTGGAGAAACTTTTCCAAGTAAATTTTCTATAAAAAACTCTCTCTAAAGATATTTTTATAAAGAAATTTTATCTAGATAAACTTTTATAAAAAAACTCACAACTTATAAGATCTTTTCTAAAATAAACTTCATTTAAAGAAACGAAGAAAGTTTTTCTAATGAAATTTCTCTCTAAAGGAACTTTTCAATAGAAACCTTTATAATTTTTAGTTTAAAAAGAAAAACTTCTATTATTTAGAAATAAAAATAAAACTATTTAAAATTTTGTTAAAAATCGTTTTGGCCTCTCTCGGTTTTAGCACTCTATATATCATAATTAACCATAGGCATGGCCACGGCATAATCCCAATCGCGAGTAAAGGGAAAACGATGCACGACAATCCATCTATTTTCCTCCATATCATAGCGGGCGATAAATTCACCACATGTGCAATACAGCTGATTGTCCACCGAAAATATCTCGTAGAATTCACGTTCTTCACCAAAATCTATGATTTCCCATTTATTGGCACGTATATCATAACGTTCCATACACATGCCCAGACCTTCACAACAATATATAGACGAACCTATAACAGCACTCGAGCAATAACCTTTAATATCATTCATAGGTCTCAGAGTGTGCCATTCGTTAATGCGCGGATCATAACGTTCTACACAATTCCAACTTCTGACCTCTTCCTCACCACCCATTACATAGAACATATTGTCATGCATTACCGCCCCCATAGAACTGCGTTGCACCAACATGGGTCTGCAGAATTCGGTTTTATTCGTGACCAAATTTAAATATTCCACTGTATTGGTGATACCACTCGATGAGTTGCCTCCTATGGCATATAGACAATCATTTGAAACCAGCGAACGATGATGAGAACGTCTCATTAGTAGGGGTGTCAAATCATACCATTGATCTCGGTAAATATTATAATAATAAGAATTTTTAGTACTACGTCCTATGCTGCCACCCTGCATATATAGAATATTCTTATGGGCTGCCAAACTTATGGCGAAAGCAGCTCTTGGTGGCGGTTTTAGGGGCAACATTGTTTCCGTATGTAAATCATAACGAAATGTTTCGGGACTGCGTCCCATTTTGTCTACCAGAAATATGCGCCACTCAGCACTGCCCTCGTAATGTTCCACCTCACTTAGCCACTGTTGGCAATCGGCTTGTTCAGTTAAAGTTTTAAGAGAGCGCGTCATCTCAGCCGTCACACACATGGGATGTATGAAGCGCAGAAGTTGTGGCAGATATGCCAAACGTGTCTCGGGTTTATATTCGGCCCAGCGTACAATGCCTTTGAGTATGGTGTCATCGGAATGCATGAATAGCTCATTGTTGCTGAGGATGGGAACCAACTGGAAAAATTTAACAAAGAAATTCAAAATAATTTTGAGAACTTAATAGAGAAACTTTTACAAAGGAAACTCTTTATAGAGAAACAATTCTAAATGAACCTCTCTCTACAGAAACTTTTTTAAGAAAGCTTTCTATTAATAAACTTTTTTAAAGAAATACTATCTCTATGGAAGCTTTTCTAAAGAAAGTTCTTAGTAGAAAAAACTTTTACAAGTAAAACTTTCTTTAGATAAACTTTTTTAAAGAAAACTCTCTCTCTCGATAAACTTTTCTAAAGAAAACATATTCTATAAAAAAATATTTCGAAGTATTCTCACTAGAGAAGCTTTAGTAAAGGAAACACTTTTTAGAGAATCTAAGGAAAACTCTCTCCAATATCTTTTTTAAAGAAAACTCTGTCTATAGAAAAAGCTTCTCACTAGAAAAGCTTTTCTAAAAGAAATTATTCTTATAGAAAAAGAAAACACTCTCTAGAAAAGCTTTTTTAAAGCTCCTTCTAGAGAAAGCTTTTTCTAATTATAGCTCTTTCAAGAGAAAATTTCCCAAAGAAAATTCCCTCTAAATTTTAACAATGAAATATCTCTTTAGCGAAACTTTTCTTATAACAACTTTCTCTAGAGGAACTTTTTAGAAGAAAACACTCTCTATAGAAACTTTTCTAAAGGAAAACTGTCTCTACAAAAACCTACCTAAAGAAACCTCTCTTATAATTCTATACTTACCTCCTCATACGACATTTCATAAAACTCTTCACACTGAACCACCTCCTGAAAATGCATTATAATAAAATCCTTCGACATCTCGAGCAAAAATTGATTATTCTGCTTCTCGGCGAAATGTTTAAAACCCAAACAGTTCTCAGGATCCAACAATTCACCCATATGTTCGCCACACATATCCGACAAATGATCCAATTGCAAAAATGAAGCAGTTTGCAATAATTGCTGCACATACTCATCGTGGATTTCACACAATCCCGTATAAATAAATTCCACAACCAATTGCAAACAGTGGGTGTCAATTTCCGGTAATTCAATTTCCGCTTGATCACTTTCAGGGAAATGGCCACTAAACATGGCCATAAAGAATGGACTGGCAGCGGCCAAAATATTACGATGGGCTGAAATACGTGTGCCATCGCTGCCTAAAAGTCGGACATCAGTGAACTAGAATATTTGCATTTTTATTCATATAATATATTTCATAAAAATCGATTTTCTTATCTTCGAATACCTGTTCATTTTTCCTAAACTCATTTAACTGCTGCAGTAAATGACCACTTGTTCCCCTGATAAAGGAACGTGGTGCCATTTGTTCTTGTTTCGTTAACT